CCGCAACAGACATACGCTCATATGAACTCGATCGCGCTAATATCGATTGCGCGAACACACGAACACACTAACACACGAGAGCGAAAACATAACCTCCTCCAACTCCGTTGGGCGGAGGTAAAAAATAAAATCACAGTAGAACTTGGCATTAGATACAGTATATCACAGAAATCTTACCGATTATTACTAGTGAAATCCACTTCTACATTCTTCCTTGGCTTGAATGTAGTCACTTTCGTCTTCATGGGCATCTTCGCTTTTCTTTGTTCCACTTCTTTAATGTTGCATATTGGAGTCGTTCTCTGTGGTTTTCTGCTTTTCCGTATCAAATGGTAATCTATTAAAAATGAAAAATAGGTACAATACATGTACTAGTAGAGTGACTACCAGGTATGCAGAATACATAACCCTGACAATTAACCAGATTAATAAACGTACCAATTGTCAGAACTTATCATGTACGTAACAAATTCTAGAATAAGCCAAAGTTATGGAAATTGAGATGCGACATTATATTTAGCAATAAAAACATAGAACAATTATCAGAAACAAATCAATAGATATATATTTATAGTATGAATATTAAATATGGTTAATAAGTGTAACCTGCTCTCTTCGCTGCTAGTCACAAACTTCACTGAAAAGATCCCCTGTCCACTGCTTGCGTTCGATATTGATGCCAAGTTGAGGAAAATCGTCAATCGTCGGTACTGGTAGTGGTACTGGTACTCGCAATGGTGTTTCTCTACATTCCTGCAAAGAAAATAAACTTCTATAAAAACCTAACTTAATATGTACTTTTTAGATAATACTGGAAATCGTTAAAGGGCCGGACAACGACTAGGGGGGCGATTTAATGCGATCTAAGTCTGGACGCCGCCGTTTATAGCCCGAAATCGACTGGACCAAGCATCACGCGATTTAGTCGAGCGACTGAAATAATCGCCCGATAATATCAAAACGTTTTGATCGATGCGACTAAATCGGCGGCGACTGACTGGACACATTAGGCGATTTTCACCGGCGATTGAGTCGCCCGATAAAATCGCCTAGTGTGTCCGGCCCTAAACTCATGGCAGCCTCCAAATATCAATTAACAGAAACATCTATAAAAAATGTCAAATTCACAGCCTATATATATCTCTAGTGAGCAGGCAAGTAAGGAATGTCCTTATGCAGGGCTCGAAATTCAGAGGAAATCCGGTAATCCGTAGGGATCCCCTACGGATTTCATAAGGAAACCTAAAGGAAATCCGTACGGATTACTTGAAAATAACTTGCCGTTACAGTGCTCCTTCCACCTCTGCAATTATCAGCAACTTCTTAGTCAATTTTGTCTTAAATGTACACAGAGCAGACACAGAGTCTGTGTTGCAGAGCCCAATTATATATCAAGTTTCAATCACTATCTGACAAAAATCTGTATAATAAAATGGCTGAGATCACCAATGCTAAATACAATGTTAACTCAGGTATTTTATTCAGGACGGTTTGCCTGCATGCAATTTTTTCTTTCATAGTAAAATTTAGGCGCTACCCTGTACGGATTACTTAGATTTTGAAGCGGATTTGCTCATTTGTGAAGGAACAAGATCCGTACGGGGATTAGTCATCAAACTGGGGAAATTCGAGCCGGCTGCATATGTGCTCGTCTATTGGTTAATTCAAGATATTATATTCCATGACATAGGCCCTACTTACAAGGTGTTCAAATGATCAAAAATCGACATGTGCCAATTTCTTATACGCCAGTCTAGCTGTATGGCAGCCGTCACGGCAAGAGGTCCGATGTTCTTATGTATTACATCTATATTGTCATTGGCTAAAACTCTGGCAAAGAAGAATAACGTAAAAGCGTTATCTAAAAATCATCTAAAACCTGCAGATATACAGGCGCATTTTCAGGGATTAAATTGTCAATCTAAATAATTTTTGCATTTTTATACAAAGGAGTGTTTGTATGCTAGTGTTCACTGTATTGATTTCATTATCAGGATCAATGATCAATACTGAAATAGTTTTCATAATCTGGTGTACAACAAGAAGAATCGATTGTTTCTAACAATTCCAACTTTTTAGCTCTTACCTAGCTTATTCCAACATCGCCAGCAAAAACTAGGGCGCGCGCCGTTTTCTACGTTTTTATTAAAGTGATTTGATTTGTTTCAAAGTCTGTAGTTCACAGCGACATTATGCAGGAAATCAAAATGGACTTCTGGGCGCGGTTTCAGCCAACGTGATAACTCTAATCATAGTTTAAATCAATAGATCAATGATTAGTTAATCCATACTTAAAAAATCCTGTTTGGCACGAAGTATATTTATCATTACATATTTAACTAATCACAATAATTAGGCCACCCTGCTACCAGTAGCCTGTAAACACCCCTGATATCAAGTAAAATTTAATTACCTCACCAGCATATCGAGGGGCAGAAGGCCTGTTGCGGTTTGGTCGATCATGACGATCATTGAAATCTATGCTGTTAAATTTGTAGTGTTGTTTCCTCTCATTAAATGATTTTCCTGACATGCTGACTCCTTGTTCTGGGTAATAGCCCTAGTTGAAATGACATAACACTTACAACTTAATTATTAGGCAGATATTATTAAAATATAGGATTCCAGTGCAGTAGATAGTTAACGGTTAACAAACAGCGGTTAAACAGTGAAATTCTTTCTTATTCAACTCCAGAATAAGGTAAAATAGTTCCCTCATAGTTGGGTTATATATATAGGGTCAGTGTCGGGAAGGGTTAGGGTTAGCGAGTGGTAATAAGGGTAGAAATGGCTAGCAGGGCATGAAAATCTGATTTTTTTGGCACCAGCCCAGAGGGCTGGTAACAGCACACCTCACAAATTTTTTATTATTTTTCAAAACTAAAGATAAGAGAAAGATATCTGGTCACATATTGGGAACTACTTTACCCCATAGTGTGTTGAGCACATTTTCTAATGTATTATTAAAAGTTAAATAGAGCGTTAACACAGTTCAACGGGCTGCTAATTAACATGGCACCTACCTCCCTGTGACTGAGATTTTGCGCGTTTTTCCCCGGCTTAGTCACTTCATTGTTTTTTACATCATTTGTGTTACCGGTAAAGCTAACTAAACTTAGAATTTACGCTGGCAAAGTATGCTATCTCTCCTTCTACGTTAAATAATGATATAAAATTTTACCCCAAAATTAAGATATTATGAATATGAAAAGAGTGGCATATTTGGGCCAATTTGAAGGCGTTTTCCCAAGCTTGGAGCGAAGCGGCGAATTTTCGGCTGCGCATATTCTTCAACTGTTTGCGTGTGTTTTCTAGGCGAGGAAACGTTACAAACTTACAGATTTGCAGAATTAAAGAACAAAAATCAGAAATCCGTTTACTCTCTAAGATCTTATAATACAATACACAGAACCAATATGTTTTTGCAACGTTTTGTAATTTTTCTAAATAAATATTTGGGGCGTGCATGGCGATCGTGCTTGCGTGCGTTTGTTGTACAGTAGCAGTTGAAGGCAACTAATGTAAATAACACAAAACACTATAACAGGCTTATTTTCATATGATCTTACCCAGAGTAATATATAACAGCAACTTTTCTAAAATACTCAACAACTGTCATAGCTAGCTATACAATAAATATGTAAAGAAGATAGAAGATAAAACAGATACTAACAACAATGAATTTTTTTATAGATAATACTCTAAAGCAGTAACAATAGGCACCACAACTGTAGCAACAATAAAATAACAATTAATTCTTATTTTTTTGGATATGCAACATAAAAACTAACAATAAGTTATAATATATTTAAAGCAGGCATAATATAACTAACAGCATATATACATAACAATTACGTAGTAATAATTATACAAATAAACATATTTTTTATTTTTTTTAGAAAACAGATAGCAACAACCCTGCAAAAGCAACAACAATACTATATATACGATATAATTATAATATATTATATATATATATAACCATCATATAATATATAATTTATAAAATAAAATAAAAATGTTGTAGTTTATATATATATATATTATATTATATATATGTTATTGAATATATTCTATGATGTAGTTATATATATATTATAGTTATATATATATATATATAATATATATGTAGCTAGTCTGCTTATGGTAAGATGACCTGAGGCACGTTATACGTGTGTTATCGAGAGACAGAACTTGATATTATTATTATTATTAGATAACAGTTTTCATGTGTGTACGTGAGGAAGTTTACGTATGTGATTCCAAAATTATCTAACCTGCCAATCAAACAAAATAAAAATTATTATAGTAATTGTGTTACGTAACACCCTAAATAAAGATGGCCACTTCACACCCAAAACTGAAGGAATTTTCGGGCGAGTCCAGCGAGGATTTTACCTTGTGGTTCAAGTGATTTGAACTATTTGTGCCGATAGCACCACCTGATGCTGTCCTTGCAGTCCCCCGACGCCATCTTGTCCTTCCCCTATATTTAGCGGGTAGGGCTTTTATGACCTACGACAGTCTGCCAGTGGAGACCAAGCTGAACTATGAACAGACACGCCAGGCACTGAAGGAGAGACTGGACCCAGAAGAGCATGCCTTGATCAGGCGTCAGGAGTTTATGACTCTCGGTCGTGAGACGGATAAGGCAATCACCGCCTTTGAGTTAGGGGTTCTCCGTAAGGCGGCGACAGCAATCCAGGATTTGCCAGAACAACATCGAAACACGATGGCAAAGGAGCAGTTCATGAGGGGGTAGGAGATGCACAGCTTTAGCTGCATCTCCTGACCCAAAACCTTGACACGATATGCCAGGCGGTGCAATTAGCGGGACAGTATGTACATGTGAGGAAGGCTATGACCCCTCAACCTGTCGCACAGGATCCAGCCATCTGCCAGGTCTCGCGGAATGAAGGGTTTGCCTCTCCTGCCGTGGCAACGGGTAAAATCACCAGTCTGAGGTATGTCGTCCAGAAGCTGTGTGAACAAGTACAGCTCCTGATGAGGAACCAAAACTGTGGCCGTGGACGTACGGCGGTCAAGGAAATCGTACTAGTCCCAAACTAGTACGTGCTGTGGATGAGGGTCGCTCTGCAGCCAAGAAGCGAAGGAAGAAGACTCAAAAGATTATTCCAAGGGTTTTGATGAACGTGGGCAATCAGGAGATACCATTGTTGTTTGACACTGGGGCGGATGTCTCGCTGATGCGCGAAGATGTATGGGATTTGTTCTCACCAGGGAAAAGAGGAACGTTGTCTGAAGAACCAACAGTAATACGTTCGGTGTCTGGAGACAAGTTGTCTTGCCTTGGAGCCGCGACAGTTCCCGTTCGACTAGGACCTTTGAGTATGCTTTCCGGATAATGAGAGGCATC